AAATTGTTACTTGTAGTTAGCGGGCCACGAATTGCATGTAAGAATATTGCGTAGATAGACATATGAAGCCCGCATATAGTATCAGCAATATCAGTTGTATTGGCGTAAGTATAAAGACTTTGCTAACATTATAGAGGCGCCTGCCAAAAAATGTATTAAAACTGTAAATTAGGTAAATCAATTTTGTTCTGAAAGAAATCTATCTCGTCGTCATCGGTATTCGTAAGTTGTTTTATTACTCATTTGTTTACTTGCACTCATACTGCAGAACACTATACTATCCTTGATGATGGACGTAATGCCGGCTGTGGATGTATATCTCGTATAAAATAAATAAATAAGATACAATATTTTATTAGGCAGTGCATGCCAAAATGATTAAGTTTAGAGTAAAAATTATTTGCATGTCTGTCCTTGTCGTTACTAAGGATCATGACTATGACTTCCTGTTTCTGTTCGGCTCGTCATTCGACCGACATCGTAGAAAATGTTGATGGTGGAAATATCATGCGTATTATGGCTTTAACGCTAAACGTTTGAAACGATTCTCATTAGAATGTATTATGGGCATCAACGATATTTGTAACCAATTTCAGTTTACATCGTTTCTTTCGTTTCTCTCTCTATATATCCCGTAGTTTCCACAGTGAACACGTCACGGATAGGAAAGCCCTTAGAAGTAGGCCAATTAGCGATTCCCACCGCCGGCTTGCGCTCAAATGATGAAACTCGTTGCCAAGCATTGTTTTTAAAAATGTCCTACTTACTACAATGCTTGCTAGTGCTAGTCGATCTCGCCAATCGATGGTCAATTCATCAAATACATGCATTTAGTCCGCACCACACACGTGCCCACAAGTTCTATATCGATCATAGATCAAGTTCCGATCACACGTACTCTAGTTGGTTTACATTAAAATTACTGGACAGAAAAGAAGAGATTTTTTTCACATTTTAAACGATATTTCGATAATGCTGTAACTATAATCTGTTGAATTACAGTTCAGCATATACATAGTTTGTTGAAGACATGACACAACGAATCGCGCATCTCTCGGAAATGCATTAATTCTATTGAAGTTATTTTATCTGATAGGGCATAATAAAAGAGTAATTTGTAAACCGTTTTGTTACGGAAAATTGTGCTCGCATCATTTGTAGCTCCCACTGTGCTCTTTGCTTTGATACAGAATTTCCTAAGGGCTAAAGCTCATATATATGTATCGTGTTCATGATATGTTTCTCATTATAACTTATATATGGTATATATAAATAAAGACGTTTTCAAATATAGACGAAAGACTGGCTCAAGCAGGAAGTCTGTCGTAAATATTACACCACCGGTTTCCACGGGACCGCTATACTTTTGATAGCTTAGGACTAGAAAAACTCAACGCAACGTCATCAATATATTTCAGTTGACTTATATATGTGCGCAAACCAACGTGTAATTTGACGAATTTCCACCCCTACCTTTGTTCGCTCTGCATGTACTTTGCCGCTTCAGTAAAGAACACGAACCGCAACATCTTTACGATGCGGCGTAGCCGATGCGTGTTACTAGGTCGTGAAATGGGTCAATCACTAGCGAATGTCTTGTCCTCTGAATTACAGACCCGCAGTTGAACGCGTATGGTTTAGTTAACGGAGACCGGATGCAAAATAACAGAATGATTTAATGAGGTGTCGAAGAAGGCGAGATCGTAGTCAGGCGTGTAAGGATCATATGGCCTTCCATACGACAGGATCTTGGTATAAGGCTGAGAGTAAGAGCCAGGCGTCTAGGGCAAAGCGAACCAGTGGCCTCTTGCGTTTCGTGGCTTAGGATCCTCGCCATCAAAATACCAAACGTAATATTGATTGCCCGTAACCTAAATATCAAATAAAAGTACTGAAATAGCTTTCATGCTAGAGACAATTACACAGCAACATGAATATTAATGGTATGGGCAGTACTCGCTGCAACTCTCTTCCGTATTTATTCGTCAGCAGTTTACATTTCTGGTATTTTTCGTGCGTATCGGCGCAGTTTAGCAAACATGAATAAAATTTGTTCCATGTAGCATTATCAAGTCATTAATAATTTTCGACGATCGCCCAATGTATCTGTTGGAAAATCGAGGCATTTTTGTTACTCTTAGTATGCGATAAAAATTATGTTTGAAAGAGGAAATCAATGTTGAGCCACTTGTAATCCATAGATGCTTGCAAGTATTTGAAAAGTCCCCGCTCACTTGGCGCGTATAGGTATAGCTAGATTTTAAATGTCAGATTCGGTTTTCTGCATCTAGACCTCATACAAAGCAGTGAAACAACCGTCATAGATAATATTGTGCTTCTGGTCTAATTTTTAAGATATGAAATAGTGCAGAGCGGTTACTAGCGAAGAAGCGAGAAAATGCAATCTGTCTTGGTTTCGATGCAATCATCAATTCATTGATTCTTAATTTTATTAAACTATTTATTTTACATAATACTCAATGCTGCACGCTCAGGTTGAGCAATTTAACTCGCAAATTGCAATACTAAACACAGCGCTGTAGTCTGAGCAAATTCTTACAGGGGTGGGGCGAATATTTGTACATCGCCGCTGAGTGTGGCGGAGAGGGTTCGAGACAGGGTTTCAAGGATGACTGCACGCTGATTTACGCTTTTATTGAACACTGTGCACATAACATTTATTCAAGTTTCGCGTTATTTTTTCTGCATTCCCATCAATTCTATCTAGTTGGAGAGCTGCTCTGTCCCAGAGGCCAGGGGCCCGTTGCCAGAAAACTTCGTAATAGTTCAAAGGTTAATTTTTAGAGACTAATGTTAATGTTAAGACTTCAATTTTTTTTCTGGCAACGGCCCCAGACATGACAATTATTACACGAGGCGTGCAGCGAGATGATAAATTATACCACAAAAACTCAGCGCTTAGACGTTAATACAGAATGCAGTTGTTTCCACGATAGTTCTTGAAAAATTTAATAAACAATTAATAAATGTTATTACGATCTGGTTAAATTCCTAAACTTGTAGATCTTTCTTCCAACTTGTTATGTAATGTGAATAAACCTGTGGCTCTCTCCATCTATCTTATCTACCCGTAAATTTAGATTTTTACAGAAGTGGCAGCTACGTTGGTAATCAGTCGGTATTTTTCGATACAGTCCGGCTTTTTCGCATATTCCCTTGCAGATATTGAAATAACCCCAAGCAAGCTTATCAGAGCATGGGCCCGATCCAGGAAACAGCCACGCGATGGAGAAGGGGTACCCCCACCGCGAAGAGGGGCATGGGGGACTGTACCTATAATCTTCCCAGAGGGATCGCAACCGCGCATATTTAGACGCTTCCGGCGCAATCGATTTCTGGCCTCTATAGTGAATCAGCAAGTGGCTCATCGCAGACTTCGGCCGTTTTTTACTCGTTTTCTAGAAATTGATTCTCTTGACGGGAGGGTGGAAGGGAGTCCTGGGCCCCTATAATGTCGCCCGATCCTTTATCCATAATATTTTAAAATTAAACCGAACTCTCGTCATACGTACTGCTGCTGCTGCTACACCTTGATTTCTACATGCTTTCGAAAAATAACTACTGTACACCGTGTAATGTAATTGTAATGCCTTGTCACAAATCTACCTACAAATCCGGATCCTGTTTTTAAATAACGGGGTCTAATTATAGTACTAGACTATAATAATAATTATATATTAAATAATATATGTAATAACTATTTACAATCGGACTAATTAGCTACATTCGCCACAGCGTGTAGCGCGGCCTTCTGACTGCGCTAGTCCGGACAAGGATC